CTAGTGCAGGTGGCTTTCTGGCTACCCACAGTGATGTCCTTCTCCTGAACAGATACTTGGTTTATGAAGTTTATTCAAATCTTTGGTTACTCTTCTGCCTCATAGGCAAAAAGAGCCCTTGCGAGGAGCTGTCCTGACAGGACGTGTTCCCACTTGGTGACAGGCTGCATGCTCTGCACACCTTCCTTCTCGCTTCGTCCCCTCGGCCAGCACTGAGAGCCCCAAGGACTTCTTAAGGAGCCGCAGAGGTGCCAAGATTCATGACCTCATTTCAGGAGCTTAGGGACCAGGACGGCTGCCGCACCGGTGGTCTGAGCCCGCCAGAATCTCCGGGTGGGGTTGGGGTTAGGCAGTCTCTTTCTGGAAAGTTCCAAATCTTGAGGATGGGGCAGGGAGAGCTGGAGTCCCCTAAAGTTCTGGAAGGACAGAGTCGGGATTTGGTGACCCTTCCCAGGGCCAGCAAACTTCCAGGTCTCAAACCCAAAGCTGATCTCCGTGTGGCCTTCAGAGCTGGGAGGCGCTGACCTGACCTAGTTTTGTGTGCGTCCCATTCCCTGATGATCCTGCACGTGTGCACCTGCCCGTGTCCACGTAGATTCCGTGCTGGAACGTGAACGAAACATAGGTGCCCTGGGAAGCATAGATTTGCTGGTGCTTTTGAACCCTTCATTCTGCCCTTGACAAAACCCTAGTCTTCTTCCCCACAGGTGAGCAGAGAGTAACAACTGGAGCTACAGTCAGGAAGCCTAGCTTTGGTCCAGGCGTGGCCACAAACTGAGGGATTCTGGGTAAGCCACTTCACCTCTCGACCTTCTTCTTTATATTATGAAAGTGTAACAATTAGAAAGTTTCAGTAATTCCTTCCAGGGTAACTTCTGAGATTGTTTTTGTACTGGCACTTTGCTTGTATGCTGTAGCAATACCACGCTGATCTAGAACTCAACTCTAGCAATCCCTTCTTGCCTCAGCACAGTCAGGTCAGGGATGGAAAAGCCTCTGAGCATCCGACCGACATCGCACGTTTAAGCACATCGCACGTAAGCACACACTTAGGTCTCGCCCAAGACTGTTGATTCTTGTTTTGCACACAGTTGTAACAAGTTGTTCCTCTGGTTTTCAAGAGTAAATTGAAAGGTATAAATTAGAAAGGGACAGAATGCCTGCTGAGAAGAGGCCTCCTATTCACTGACAGGATAAAGGTGCTAGAGAAAAACCTTAAAAGGCACCAAAAAAAAGTCAAAAATCGCCGTAGTCCGGTGCAGCTCTGATCACATCAGTGGGGCCTGAGAAAAACACTGTGTCGTGACACAATTCTGCATTCATGTTCACGCCTCCAGGTTACCTGTGAACACGTGTCCATTGGATTCTGTTGACAAATCAGTTGTGTGGAAGTGCATGCTATGTTTTAGAAAAACATTCACTCACAAAAGGGTTACATTTAGGAAAAGGGAAACAAAAACCAAGTGATACATGTGCCTTTAAATATTCACCCTTAGCTTTCTGAAAACCTCAAGTCTGGAACACCATCTCTGACAACTCCAGATCACCAAGATTTATTCCAGAATTGATAAATTTGAGCACAAAGAACAGAGTGTAAAGTAAGAAATGGTACTACTCCAAACACTGTACACTTTATTGTTGAAAAATGTGATACCGATTTTCTTACCAAGCGTCAAGAAGAATTGTGCAAAAAAGACTTTCTCTGGGGCTGCATTGCCTGCCACTCACTGCGCACCACGAAGTGAGACCGGCCTGTTTAGTCTGCTGTTCCTATGTGTTCCTTACACTCTCAGCCTGGCAATATTTGGGTTGGAAGCACCACAAAGGAATACTTGAAAAGTCTTTTTTTCAAATATAAGTTCAATAAAAACATTTATACGTATTAAGTTTTGCAAAACACATTAACTCTGGGAGGGTTCTCGTAGCCAATTAAGCACTTTTATCCCCTCTTTTCCCAGACTCAGGCAAAAAATGTCCTATAGATGAGTAAAGAACCAGTTTTCTTCAGACCCCACCATCCACATCTGGTCAGATTTAGACTGAAGAAAGAACAGTTTGATTCAATACAGCACGATGTAGCATATACTCCCTGACTATCTGCCTTGGGTCAGACGTGTGCCAGGTCTTGGGAACACAAAGGCGTGACAAGACACAGCACCTGTCCTGCAAGGGCAAGTGAGATTCAGTGTGATAAATGTTCTCAGAGCTTTAAGCACAGGAGTTATAAATGCACTGGGTAAAACAGCAACTCATTCAGTTATGGGGGTTATAGAGGTTTCTTAGGAAAAGTAATATTTCCATTGAGAACTAAAGTTTAAGCACAAGCACAGGATTTTATTATTTAAAAAAAAAACAAAACAAAACAAAAAAAAACTCTTCTGTGTTTTTTCTCCAGTGCAAAACAATCTACAATCCCAAATACATGTTTTCCCAGTGCTTTGGGGGGTCGAGGCAGGAGGATCGATTGCTTGAGGGCAGGAGTTAATGACCAGTTTGGGCAACATAGTGAAGCTCTGTCTGTACCAAAAAATTTTAAAAATTACCTGGATGTAATGACATACACTTGTAGTCCTAGCTACTCAGGAAGCTGAGGTGGGAGGATCGCGTGAGCCCAGGAGTCTGAGGTTACCATGATCTATACGATCAGGCCACTGCACTCCAGTCTGGTCTACAGAGCAAGACCCTGTCTCTAAAAACCTAAAAGTTTAAAAAGATAATTTTCAAATGTGTGTTTTAAAATAATATAAATGGCTTGGAGGTAGATCTAGGAAAGAATGAATAAATTTATCGCATGTTCTAGAACAAATCCTATCTGACCACCTCCATCTTGTCTGCATAAATGGGTATGTATGCAAGCACTTTCAGCCTAGTAAGGAATTGAGGGGACATTGTGAGGTGTCTGTGCCAGTCAGATTCTGGCAGGGTCCCCAGTGATTGTGTTTGGCGTGGCAGAGACAGTGCTATGAGCTGCCTCCTTTCTGGATCCTCCCACAAGGTTGCAATTCCTAGCCTTCCTGCAGCCAGGCAGAGCCATTGACTCATTCTAGCCAATAAAATAAGAGTGGAAGTGATGCCACTTCCTGGATAAGGCAGCAAAAAGCTCCTATGGATTCTCCAGTCTCTGTCTTCCCCTCGGCAGGCAGAGCCACAGATCAAAGGATCCTGGTTCACGGAACCACCCAGGAAGGGCAGCTACCCTAGACGGTCATCCAACTGACGCCAGGTTTGACATGGACAGGAAATTAACTTGTCTGTTAAGCATCTTAAATTTTTGTTATTTGTTACGGCAGCATAAACCTGGTCTATGCTGACTAACATATTTGATTCACAAAGTCAAAATGGAATTGGCAAAAAGTAAGTAGACGGAGGGAGGTGGGGGCCAAGCTGTGAAGGCCACCCATGGCACGCTGTGGGGTTTCAAACTTTATCCTAAGGGCAAGGGGCTGCTGGCAGAGCAATGACATGCTAAGATTGGCTCCTGGGAATGATTTCTCTGGCTGTATTTCTGGTAATACCAGCAAGGGCTCATGACGGCTAACCTGATAGGAGTGATGGGGAATAGAAGAAAATAGACGGTTTTGAGAGTTGTTAGAAAGGGAGACTCGATAAGACATGACGAATGTTTCAGAGTAGATACTAAGAAGGTAGGTTGAGGCCAGCTTCCTGACCTCTGACATGTGACATGGGTGGTGGGGGTGTCACTCACAGGCATAGGGCACACAGGAGGGGGAGGAGGAGTGTGTTGGGTGGAGGGGCAGCACAGAGACGATGGCATCACCTGGGGCATTTTGAGTTGGAAATGCCTTTAGATCTAGAATCAATCTAAAATGCATTTAGATCTAGAATCAGAAAGACGGCCTGGGCTGGAGGTTTATAGTGACGACTCAGCAGCATGTGGTCGATACTTGGAGCCGTGGAAGCTCACCGTGTGCGTGAAAACAGCAGCTCCTCCCACCTACCATCCATCCACATGTGTGTTCATCAGGAGTTTCTGAATGTTCTATCATACGCATGTGATACATGTCTAATTCCCCCCAAACCGTGAAAACATCAGAAGTTTATTTATTTTTCTAAAAACAAAACCAAAAAACGCTAAGATGCAGTCATTGTGACCCACCTTTGGTTTGCCTGTGTCTTCACAATTTACGCAGACGGTTCAGTGGCTCAGGCTGGAAGGCGCCTTTCCCAGCTCTGCTCTTTCACTCTCCAGTATGAACGTCAGCGTGTGAGATATGCCCAGGGCCCCTATTCCTCCAAGGCAAATCTGATATTCAATCCTAGCCTGGGTCTCTGGTTAACCATCAAAGCAAGAGGGGGACTTACTCGGCATTTCCCATGAAATTGCTCAATGCTGTTTCGTTAGATGTGAGCCAGAGCAGGGTGTTTTTATTGTTGTTTTTAAAGACTAAGGAAAAAATCAAAAGGCTTCGTGAGAAGAGTATCCCCAAATTAATATATGGGCCAGGAAAATTGAGAACAAAGTATCTAGTGTTTTGCAAAGCCTAAATGAGGAAATGGAAAAGAAATTTTAAAAAGCTGATACTGACATGAAATTTCAGGTCACATAGAGCCGCAGTCCCCAAGCCCCAGGCCGTGGACCAACGCTGGTCTGTGGCCTGTTAGGAACCGGCCGCACAGCAGGAGGTGAGCGGTGGGGGAGAAGGCCAAGCTCCGTCTGCATCTACAGCCAGCCGAACCCCATCGCTCGCATGGCCACGTAAGCTCCGCCTCCTGTCAGATCAGCGGTGGTGTTAGATCCTCATAGGAGCTTGGACCCCACTGAAAACTGCACATGGGAGGGATCTGGGTTGCGGCTCCTTATGAGAATCCGATGCCTGATGCTCTGAGGTGGAGCTGAGGCGGTGATGCTGGCGCCGGGGAGCGGCTGCAAACACAGACTCTCATCAGCAGAGAGGTTTGACTGCACAGTAAATGTAACGCGCTGGAATCATCCCGAAACCACCTCCCACCCTTGTCCGTGGAAAAACTGTCTTCCATGAGACCGGTCCCTGGTGCCAGTAAGGTTGGGGACTGCTGATAAAGACTTCTGATGCCAGAAGATGATTTGAGCTCACATGTTTTACTCAAACCAGCCATTCTCCGCTGAAATTATCAAATAACTATGACAGAGAATTCTGTAGGAGTGCTGCTGGAAACTGGAGAAGAGAATCATCTCTGTAACTGAGACTCAGAGAGGTGACGAGACACAGCAGCAGCCACTGCCCTGGCAACAGTGGCCTTGTGATGAAGGCAGAGAGCTGTGTACCGGGAGTGTCCTTCTTTGACTCTTCCAGGAAGGTAAGGAGACCGTTCTGAAAATAAATAGTGTAACAAGCATAAAAAAAGTAAAAAGAGTAACTAATACAGGTTTTCAATATTTGCTTTCCCCTTTGCCTTCAAAAATGGAATGATTCTTTACTTGTTCCATCAGCTAGCATTTTCCTCTTGGGCTTAGAGTGAATAAGCAGAGGGGTTTGTTTTGTTTTGTTATGTTATGTCTTGTTTTGTTTTTGAGACAGGGTCTCGCTCTGTCACCCAGGCTGGAGTGCAGTGGTCTCATCATAGCTCACTGCAATCTCAAAATCCTGGGTTCAAGTGATCCTCCTGCCTCAGCCTCCCAACTAGCTGGGACTACAGGTATGTACCACTATGCCCAGCTAATTTTTTATTTTTTTGTAGAGATAGAGTCTCACTGTGTCAACCAGGCTGGTCTCCAACTCCTGGCCTCAAGTGATCCTCCCACCTCAGTCTCCCAATGTGTTGAGATTATGGGCATGAGCCACTACACCTGGCCAGAAGAATTTTTTACTTTAAAAACTGTGTGAAAGTATCCTTGAGAAGAAAGGATCCAGGAGACCAGAAAAAAGAGAAACAGCCAGGCAGCCAAGAACAGTTTGTAAAGTTTGAGAGATCAGGAGAGGATCAGATGGACAATTGCTGTGATGACTGGGATATTGAGAGAACAATGTGGAAAGACAATTTAAAGAAGACTTGAGAGAGTATGTTAACAAGATGGCAGAATAGGAAATTCCAACTCTCATCCTACACTGGAAACATGGAACATGGATTTTGACAACCACTCACAGATGAGAATACCTTTGTGGGAGCCCTGGAGTCTACCTGAGGTTCTAACAAAACATCTGGGAGTGGACACATTTTATTTTACCTGCATCACCCTTCCCCCAAGTGGCACCGCTTGGTATGGGGAGAGACCCTCTTGGCCCATGCTTGCTTCCGTGGAAGAAAGTGAGAGTGAAGTGAGTGCCCAGCTTCCCAGACTTGCAGGATGCTCACTTCTGAACATTATAAAGGACTGAATTGTCTGGGGACATCCAGGAGAAGGGAGAAGGGGAGGGAATTCAGAGCAACTGGCACACAGTTCTCAACATCCAGCCATGGATCCTGCTAACCAGCTCATAGACTCTACCAAGAGGTCCTCCCAGAAACCAACCCCCCCAGGACTACTTACCTGCCTCCCCATGGATGACACTCTGTGCATTTCTGTGCACAGCCTATATGAGCTCTGGCAGACAACACGAGGATCTCAATAGCAGGTGTGAACCTTAGCAGTTGGTTCAACTCTGCTGGTTTGAGAGAAGGCACACCACCTTGAATATTTTAGGGCACTACCCTAGGGATGGGGTAATAAGAATTTGAGCACAAATTCTGGCTTTGCAGGATCAAGAGAAGACAGGCAATCATAAGACTTGCCCCCTAAGAGGGAGCAAGTGGAGTAGTGTGGGTGCATCTGTAGACAGGATTTGAGAGACCCACAACATCTCTGGCTGGGCTCACTGGTGAAGTGAAGACTGGAAGAGGTGGATACTTCTTCTAAAGTGAAGATAGCAATGCAAGGCTTCGATGAACATAAAGAATCAAGGAAATGTGACACAACCAAGGGAACAAAATAAAGCTTCAATGGCTGACCCCAGAGAAAGAAAGATCTACAAATTGCCTGACAAAAATTGAAAACAATCCCCATCCTAAAGAAGCCCCGTGGCTACAGGAGTACACAAAGAGATAACTAAATGAAATCAGGAAAACAATACATGAACAAAGTGAGCAGTTCAACAGTGAGATAGGAATAATAAAAAAGAACCAAACGGAAATTCTAGAGCTGAGGGATAAAATGTCTGAACTGAAAATTTCAGTCGAGGGCTTCAGTAGCACACTCGGTCAAGTAGAAGAAAGAATCAGCAAACTCAAATGCAGATTGTTTGAAGTTATCCAGTCAGAGGAACAAAAAGAAAGAAAAAGAGTGAAGAAAGCCTACAGGAATTATTGGACACAACAACCAACGAAACAAATTCATGCATTATGGGAATTCCAGAAGAAGCAGAGTAGGCGAAAGATTATTTAAAGCAATAATGACAGAAATCTTCCCAAATCTGGACAGGCAAATGAACATACATATCCACGAAACCCAAAGAACTCCGAATAGTTTGAGCATCAAGAAGTCTTCACTGAGACACATCATGGTCAAACTGTAAAAAGTCTAAGAGAATTTTCAAAGCAGCAAAAGTGACTTACCACATACAAGAGAACCTCCATAAGAGGATAAGCAGACTTCTCAGCAGAAACTTTGTAGGCCGAGAGAGAGGGGTGATATTTTCAAAGTGCCAAGAGAGAAATCTGCAAACCAAAAATACTATACCTGGCAAAGTTATCCTTCAAAAATGAAAAAGAGATAGACTTTCCCAGACAAACAAAAGCTGAGAGAGTTCATCGCCAATAGATCTGCCTGATAAGAAATGTTAAAGGGAATTCGTCAAGTTGAAACAAAAGGACACTAATCAGCAACATGAAAACACATGAAGGCATAACACTCACTGGTAAGGGTCAGTGTACAGTCAAATTCAGAATATTCTAATATTGTAATAGCAGTGTGTATAAATCACTTTTAACTATAGTATAAAGTTAAAGATAAAAGTATTAAAAATGACTATAATAATTTGTGATACACAGTATGAAAAGATGTAAATTGTGATCTCAATAACATAAAATTCAGGTGAGGGGGTGAAAGTGTATAGATTTTTGTATGCAATAGAAATTAAGTTATAAACTTAAACACATAGATTATTATAACTATAAGATGTTTTTGGTAAGCCTCAGGGTGATCACAAAGAAAAAACTAAGTTTTTTTGGAAAGATACACAAAACTGACAAATTTCAACTAGACTATGAAAAAGGAGAGAAGACACAAGTAAAATTATAAATGAAGGAGAGGAGGCATTACTACTGATTTCATAGAAACACAAAAGATTATAAGAGACTACTGTGAACCATTATATGCCAATAAATTGGATAACCTATAACAAATGGATAAATTCCTAGAAATGTACACCTACCAAGACTGAACCATCAAGAAAGAGAAAATCTAAATAGACCAATATTGAGTAAACAGATTTATTCAATGATCAAAAATCTCCCAAAAAAGAAAAGCCCAGGACAAGACAGCTTCAGTGTTGTCAAACATTTAAAAAGAATTAATTCCAAAATCCCAGCAAACTGAACTCAACAGCACATTAAAAGGATCATACACCATGATCAAGTGGGACTTGTTCCCGGGATGCAAGGATGGATCAACATATGCAAATCAATGAATGTGATAGACCACATGCTGCTGCAGTTGCACTGGCCAAGGGACCCAGCCCAGTCCCTAGGTGCCTGACCCACCACCCCTTTCCCTCCCATCTCCCTGGAGCTGTTTGAGCTGGTCTTGACCCCCCAGAGTCACAAGACTGTTACAGTGGCCCCACCCAGTATGCTCAGCCCAACAGACATGGCAGCCTCTGGGTGCTTCACCCACTATCCCTCTCCACCCCGCTCCCTGGAACCACCTGAGCAGCTCCTGCCATGATCTCCCCAGCCTAGGATCCCACCCCTGTGACCTTTGCATTCTGTAGGTGCTCAGGCCATCACTGCCCCTTCTCAGAGGAAACCCAGCTGCTGCCTCCATGGGTGCCTTGGCCCAGGGACACAGCATAGCTACTACACATGTGCCTGCAACCAGCCCCAAGGGCCCCACCGCAGGCTCCTACCCCACCGCCATGTGCACCTAGACTGACTCTTGCAGTCAGGCTACTACATGCTGTCAGCCCTGGCCTCGTGGCTGTACATGCATAAGCAGCTGCCCCTGCCCCCACTATTGCGTTTGCACCCACAGCTGGCCCCTGCAGCTGCACGTGCACACACATAATCAGTTTGGCCTCCCCTTGCAGTTTTGCATGTGCAAGCTGCCAGCCCACACCACTACCTGCACACCCACAGTCAGCACAAGCCCCTTTCTCTTCCCCCAGTCCTTGCCACCATGCATGAGCCGACAGCTGGCTCTGCTACTACAGACACGCCTACGGCCTCCACATCACAGCACGTGCACGTCACTGGCTCTGGCATCCACAGCGGCTGGCCCTGGCCCCTAGCCACCGGCCACAGAGGTGCAGCTGAGGACCCCAACAGCCCTCACTGGCTCAACAGAATGAAGGATAAGAACCATATTACCATCCCAATAGATGCAGAATTTTTTTAAAAAATATTCAACATCCTATAATGATAAAGACTCTCAAAAAAATTAGGTATAGAAGGAATGTACCTCAACATAATAAAGACCACATATGAGAAGCCCACAGCTAACATTATGCTCAACAGTGAAAATCTGAAAGCTTTTCCTCTAAGGTCAGGAACATAACAAGGATGCCCTGTCTCACCACTTCTATTTAACATAGTACTGGCATCCCAGCCAGAGCAAGTAGGCAAGAAAATAATAAATAAAAGGTATCCAAATGGGAAAAGAAGTAAAATAGCCTCTGTTTACTGATGACATGATTTTATATGTATAGAAAACCCTAAAGACCACAAAAAAACTTTAGATCTAATAAATGAATTCAGTAAAGTTGAGGAATATAAAATCAACATGCAAAAATCAGTTGCATCTCTAGACACTAACAATGAACCCACCACTCCTTTCCCTCCCATCTCCCTGTAGCTGTTTGAGCTGGCCTTGACCCCCAGAGGCACAAGACTGTTGCAGTTGCAGTATCCAAAGAAGAAATTACGAAAACAATTCAGTTTACAATAGCATCAAAAAGAATAAAATGCTTAGGCATAAATATAACCAAGAACGCAAAAGACTTCTACACTGAAAACTATAAAACATTGATGAAAGAAATTAGACACAAATAAATGGATAGATATCCCATATTCATGGATTAGAAGACTTAATATCGTTAAAATGTCCATACTACCCAAAGCAATGGACACAGTCAATGCAATCCCTATCAGAATTCCAATAGAGTTTCTCACAGAAATAGAA